CCCGGGCCTTCTACCCATCGTAGCCTCTGCCAGTATCCTCTGCATGTAATCCCTCTCTCTCGTATCTGAAGAAGAAGCTGGAAGGAGGAAAGAGGAAAGAGGGAGACGAGATGTAGGGCGAGAACGAAGAAGAAGATGTCGCCCTCCTTGCTGCCTCACCTGCAGGTAACTGCTTTCGTACTGACCGTCGTGGTCTTCCTGTACAGGTTTCGCGCGGAGCCCCGGCTATGGCGCCAGGTAAGTTCGCCACTAAAGGTATGGCCTCCGCCTCTCTTTGCCTCCTACGCCTCTCCTTCCCAGCCTTGCAGCGCAGCGCCAAAATAGCGCAGCCTCCAACCAGCAGCGTGTCAATCAAGAGGTGAGCTCCCCGAACTGTCCCTAGCCCAGCCTCAGCCCAGCTACAAGTAGCATTGGGCCTGCTTGGCGTTCCTCAGGTACTTGCCTCAAACGGCCTACTCGGTCTGGGCACCTTCCGGGTGTCCAGACAGCGCTGCTGATGCAGCGAGGCGCCAAAACGCGCCTGGCCTGAAAGTGGCCTAGGCCTTGTGTACCTCGCCCAAGGTGACGCCTTAGGACTTGCAGTCCGAAACGACGTCGGGACCTGCAATTCGAAACGGCGTCCGAACGAACCACTGCCAGTACATGCGGCCCGAAGGCCGCCGTGGACCTCAAGGGTGCGTGCTAGGCGGCACGAGGCGGGGGCTCCTTTAGCAACCGTCGGGCCCGTCAAGTGGCGCCAGTATGCAGGCGAAGCATGTAACACTCTCTCTCTCTCTCTCTCTCTCTCTCTCTCTCTCTCTCTCTCTCTCTCTCTCTTTGCAACTCACGGACAGGCACTTATGTGTGCCTACACCCAGAAAACTTAGAAACTCGACCATATAAAAGATAGCGCAAACCAAGATGACAGGGGAAAATAACGAAATCCTCTCTCTCTCTCTCTCTCTCTCTCTCTCTCTCTCTCTCTCTCTCTTGTTTGTGCGAGCGCCCTCACACAAAGGTGTCGCTGACTCGGCTGCTATGTGTCTGATTTTCAATCCAACGCGGGTTTTGCGTTGAGTTATTCAATCAATCAATCAATCAATCGGTCGGTCATTCAATGACCAATCAATCAATCAATCAATCGGTTCCCGCACACGTGTCAGATCAGGTTGTCCTGCTTCATGTGCGGGCTCCGATACAAACTGATACATGCCCAGTTGAACAATGTATGTACAGCCAAGGATCCACAATGTGATGGAGACGACTGAATGGACAATGCAATGTTAGTGAAACATCAACAGGCAATGTACACCTCGATACATACAAATCAGCACAAAATAGCGCAGTGGTCCTGACCTGACCAGGACTGACGCGACACCCCATCACCCATCACACATGTGAGAGACGAGGAGGGACCACACACAAAG